TACATCATCTACCAGTGAAATTTTAAAATCACAATTAAACCTTGATCTCATGTGTGGTTTTTGTGGAGTGGGAGTTGTGTTTATTTAAGAAAGCCTCCATTTAATCCACATCTATTAAATCACCATTATTTAAGTTATGTCAGTCCTGCATGTAGCTCTCTTGCACTGGAAGCTGGACTCAGGCATTTAAAAAATCCTTCTTGGCTTTTAGACCTATAACCTAAAAATATTTTGTCTCTTGATCTGGTGATAATAAAAATTCCTAGGAGTAGGACAGGGTGAAGATTGGTGCCACTGAGATACGCTCTTTCAAAGGGTGGATCAGTGAAAGAATCATGTCAGAACACCTGTTATCCAGAGGATCTTAAGCGAATATTGATTTTCATCTGAAAACCAAATTCTGCCTTTAGATTATGTATGTGCAACTGTCTTTATGTGGCCTTTGGGCTGGAATAAGGAAGGTTTCTGTGTCACAGTATTGGTTAGAGGGCTCAAGGCCCTACTGTGTGACATACACAGGTTCACCCTAAAATGTAATCATTGCCCTGCAGGGCCTGGTGTCTACAGACTTCAGCCAAGACTTGGGAACCAAGCACCTCCTGAACGGCAACCCAATAGCCTACCAACTAGTTCACAACGTCCCAGTTTGATTTCTTCTCCTTATCTTCACGGCAGCACAAAAAAAAATCACTAAGGCGAGAGGCTTTAATCATCACATTGTCTTCAATGTCAGGCATAATTGCAAAATACTGCAATGATGCACATAACAGAGAAAATACCCGAGTAAATAATAACTGGTGTTAGCCACACATGGCTAGAATATTAATCTTAACATCTGTCAAAATAGCATAGTTTTCTTGCCATAATGGTTAACAGTAATTTCACTGATTCACCAGATTTAGCCTACTGGAACATCAGAATCTGACCCTGAGAAGCAATTAAAGATTATTTGTGAACTGGACAGACAGAAACTGAAAGATCAGGTCCAAGCTCTAAATGATTTTCAGTTTCTTAATGGCAGTAGAAGGTTAGTGCAGCAGTAGGAATACTAAGCAACTTTTTAAAAAAACAGTAAAACCACCAGCTGGAAACATCTGGAGGCAGAATCAGTGAGATTTTTGCTCTTAAATTAGTCCAGCTCTCTTGATGATTTTATCTAATTAGCTTGGCTTTTTTACCTTACTATGCATGCACCAGTGGCCTGCGATACTGATGTAGAAAAGTAATTACTCAACAGAAGAACTATTTAATTGCTGAACATGAATATTAACAGCTGAATAATACTAGCTAAATAAATAAAGATTAGTCTTCCCAATCCCACTAGTTTCTCTAAAAACACGAGCTAGACCTGGACTAGCTTAACCTTATACGTGGTAACTTTTTCATTTTGTATAGTTCTTCAAGTAGTCTCTGGTCATTAATATTTTTACTTCTAAAGTTTGTGAAGTTGCAAAACAGAAATGCACTTACTCCAAAGAGAAATCACTCATAATAATACTGTTGCAGTAGTTAAAGAAACTAGTAGTTTTGTAGAAGTCAGGAACCCAAAGTATATTTGAAGGGACAGTGAGGTCAGGCCACTTGGGCTTACAGAAGTCCTTTAAACCATACTCTCCAGAGCAATAAAATCAGCATGAAAATGGGCAGAACAAACCTTCCATAGGAACAGAAAACAAACCAGTGCTTGTGCTTTCCACTTAAGTTCTGCCTTTAGGCACCCCAAATTCTCTCTTTTTAAGGCATCAGTAGTTTTGTTGTCCTTTTATCATGGGTAATTTACATCTCTGAATTTTAAAGCTATCTGCTGGATGTACCCCAACTAATAAATAGTAATGGCACCATATATGCTATTTTACATCAGGTGTCTCTCTAGAACACCTCCCTTTTATTAAACTATTATTTGATAAGGCATATCAGCAATTTCCTCTTCTTATAACCTTAACTAAGAAAGATCATTTCATTAATCTTTATCCTGTTACTTTTACTCTGTTTAGTTTTACACTATACAGCATAATTCTTCTGACATAATCAGCTAACTTCCATGATGGAATAATGTATCAAGAACGCCAGCCCAAGGTATGCAGGGTGCCTTTGCTGCTGAGCACTGCTTGAATTCCCCAGAGAAATGTGAACAGATAGGGTATTTTCAACTGCAGAAAGCAACATAGCAAATAGCAATGCAGTGTTGTCATTTTGAGGTAAAAGGTAGCAATCTGTTATCGTGATCAGAGTTATTTAAGGCTGCTTTCAAATTAGCTTTGCAGCCACAAATGTGTAAATATTTAATTTTTTTTCTAAGCAAACATGAACCAGTTCCTTGAGTGAAAACAGAACATGTCCAAATTGAATGTACTTCTGTATAAAAATGATGGTTTCTTTCACAGGAAAAACATATCAAAAGTAATGTATCCGATGGAACTCCAGCCTTGACAGATGCAGATAAATAAAAGTTGAAATGTAGTGCTAGTGTTTGTCACTGGAATCATAATGCAGAATTTAGACCAAGATGTATTATAAATTTAGTACAGCTTTAAATACAATACCCAAACTTGAGAAAGTGTTCCAACCAAGTGCAACGCCTCTTTCTTTAGTCTTCCCTGTTCTGCAATGCTGACTAACTTCAGCCATTGAACTCGGGCTACGAATGGTGAGATGAAGGAATTAGGGCCAAGCGTGTACCTCGCATTGTCACTCAGGTATAGATACCAGAAAACTGCACACTACATTCTGGGCCCACCATCTGAACTCTTTACCAAGGTGTCGTCTCGTAGAAAATCAAAACACATAGGGCCTATCCTTTAGTCCTTTGGTAAGAATGTGCAAAGAAGTCAGCATGGCTTTCTTATCTGTTTTCCTACTTTCCTTTCTTACTCACCACTCACTATTTGTATTCCACCTTCTTCAGCCTATGTTGGTTTTTCTAAGTTTAGCAGAGATTTTGCATGAGCAAAACAACAGCATTTGATCCCAGACATCAAATTAAATCAGCAGTGTTGATTAACTGCTCTCAGATGAGTCACCTGCTACTTCCAGTAAGACTCTGCAGCCAAACTTTGGAATAAGCCTACTGCCCAACAAGTAAATTACCTGAATACAGCTTAGCTGCTGCTCATGTGATGGATAAAAGAAAATGGGCAGCTTCATTCCCTTTTGGACAGACTCGAGTGAACACCCTGTTACATTCTGAACCTACACAAGCTATTTCCTCCTTCCATGGCGTTACATGGAACCAAAGCACACTCACATCTCTGCCCCTAGCAGAGAAGAAAAATGCTGATCTACCTACTGTAAAGGAGGGAGGGAGAGCCTCTCTGCTTCTCCCTCACCCCAGCTTTGTGCTCCAGCCAGACGCAAGGTGACCCTAAGCAGTTACATGTGTGGACTTAAAGATTACAAGACAGAAAGTGGATGGATGGTCCCTTTTTTTTCTCCTCCTATATACGAAACTCCCATTGGCTTTCCTGGGTGCTCCCTCTATAGACTGATGAGCAACTGGTCAGAGGAGACGGAATAACTTTTTACCTGCCAACCCCAGAGTTCAGGATGTGTTGTTTCTCCTGCAGCAGTTGATGACAGCCTAACACCTTAGCAGCACTGGAGCTGCATTCCTACGCTGTAACAGGGGAAGCAGGACCAAGGGCCTGAACTAAGGTCTTGGCAGGTAAGTGAAGGAGCAACCAGTATCAAACAGCTGTTTTTTTGAAAGTGTACGTCTTTGTAATGTTTAAGTCTTAATATGTGCTCTGCTTTACCTGGGAGCTGAAACTTCCACTTTTCAGAAGAGTATTTGAGGCCACCTATTAACTTTGCCAAATGCTTGAAAAAGTGTTGATGAAACTCATAAATGCAGAGGGGCTAAAAATGTTTCAAAACGAGGATTTCGTCTTAGAGCTGAGCAGAAGTTATTCAGATTACTGGGGGAGGGAGAAGCTTTATGCTACCAACGTATTTTTGTATATCTCCACTTAGGATGACTGAGAGCATTGTTATACAGTGAATTCCCAATATTCAAAATATGAGCTCTGTTAGGATTGGGAGGGGAATTTTTTTGTTTGTTTTTTGTTTCATTGCTTGTTTTCTCTCAATTGGACACGTAGGGAACATCTGATGAGGGGAAATCTCCACATCCTTACTACGTTCCACTTCTTAATCTTAATTATTGGAACTAGGTTTCCTATATGAATACTTACATCATTCAAAATGTGCTTTATTTCAGTAGTTATCAGGAATTGTGTCTTCAGTGGCAATATCATGTTCCAGAACATTCATAGAGAGCACACACAGAGGAAGTCGCTACCACTAAAGCAAATCAAATTAAAAAGATATTTACAGAAAAATACATGATGCTAGCTACCAGCTCAAAAGAGAAGAAAAAAACCCAAAACACTAAAACCACCCTTCCCTAAAGGAAGTCTTTCTTTTCCTTGCTTCTGGTAATGTGAGGGTAATTGATGGCTTTCTGTTGAGAGGCCAGTAAGTTTTACTTTTTGGACTGTAAAACAAATTTGGGTCAGAGAAGGAACTTATAAGGAGCTGCCACGACCTAAATTCTGTACCCGAGCCATCTACCACCATTGTGTCCTGGAGAGAAAAAAGGGAACATTCATAAAGAATGAACAACCATCCACAACCAAAGCCCCGTCAATGTCCAATTCAGATATTCTTATCCCTCCTATCATTATTGTTACCGATATTCTCAATTTACCAAGTGAAATCACTCCAAATCTGACCTCTAAGTTTATGTCCATCTTTTAGCGGATTAACTTTGAGTTTGTAAAAAATTACACATGCTAATAGCAACTGTTAATTAACATTCATCAGAATTAAGGGAAAAAGTCATCATCAAAAATTTCTCTCCAAACTGTGGGTGTAAATTTTAGGGGCAAGAGTGAAAAATGACACTTTACATAGGTTTGTATCTTTTAAAAGTTTGCATTACTATAGTCATTGTTTTAAATTAACTTTCTCTAGACAAAATAAAGTGTTGTACTACATTGCAGCCTCACTGTTAGGAATGAAGATAGAGGAGACAATGCAGGAAGGCCAACACACACGACCAAAATGGAGAGTATCCAAGTCATAGAAGAATGGTAAGTTGATCAAACCGCTATCTAACAAATGTTTTTAATTTGCCTATAACTAATATCAAGAATTGCCTTGGTTTTGATGCTTCAGGAATGTCCTTTTAATTACTTTTCCTCCAAAAAAATCTATACAAAAAGAAGCAAAATCTTTCCTGACAATGAATTGCCAGCAGAGATATTCATAAGTCAGGCTTACTTCCAGCTTCTTATTTGTGGGGAAGAACTGTGGGAGAAATGGGAGATGCATGGCTGGTTGCATATACCTGTGGGTCTCTGCTACCTGTAGGATCACCTTCTTCTCTTTATCAAGACAAGAAGAATTTTCACATTTTCAACTTCACATTTTTAACATAGCTACCTTTCATAAAACAGCTTGGAGTATGGGTTCACTGGAATTAACCAAGGAAACACATATCTTGAAAAACGGGCACACTGAAAGTCTGAGATTCTATTTCCATCTAAAGCTTGTTTATTGTGTTGGGGAAAATGCTAACCTATCAGTGGTCTTGAATTCACTAATGCCATAACAAGCAAATAAAAACTTAACTCTAGAGGATATGATTGATGGCAAAAGCAACCCAAACAACTCATTGTCTTCATTGCTACTCATGGTCATTTATGAGATGACAATGTCAGAAATTTCCACAAAATTCTGCCTATTCCCAATAGACAATGAGGGAGCACAGGATGCTTGTCAGCTCCATCCACTTCAGCAGGTTCTTTTCACCCTCCTCAGACAGAGGAGTTTTCACCTCCAAATCTGCATGTTTATACTTTTTGGTTCAGATTACAATTATTTTGCTGGATAGTTTAAATGTTAAACACTTTCTCATTTATTACATCTTTTGGACTGCTGAAAAGCTATCACAAATAGCTTCCCATCATCCAGTCTGCCTTGCATGCAGAGTAGGAGTTGATAAATGGACTTTAAGAGAAATCATATAGATACATGTCACTTATTGTGCAACATGATTACACAGAAGCTTGTGTTGGATCCTATCAGTAAGGGGAGGGTGAGCTCTCAGAATCAAGTTTGAAACCATATTTATTTGTTGTTAAATAACTCGGAGTATTACCTTCTCAAGCAATTCATTGGTACATTAATGGATTAGTGACACAAGTTAGTCTTCTGATCACTTATCCAGTGCGTCCAGTGTTACAAGTCATAAATAGTTTCCTTCAGAAAATGGGAATAAGGACTTTTCCCATTTCTTCTCTCTCCAGTTTTGCCAGCAACATCCATCACATCTTGTGCCAATAGATCATCATTCAGGTCAATAGCACCAAACAGAGGGAAGCTTAGCAACCCTTAGGTACAAGCACAGAGAAATATGCTAATTTAAAAGCTCTCTGAATCACTATTTTGTTGGGCCTCATTAGTATGCTCTTGGCTGCCAAGAGCCTTTTGTTTTTCTTGTCCTTCCTGAACCAAATCGTGTGGCAGCCAGTGATTGGCCAAACGGCATCAGAAGCAGGCAGGGACATCAGGTGTCATCTAAACCCCTCGTGAAAGAGAGTCTATGGCCAACTTCCTGAAATCACATCTCCTTTAACTGCAGAGGCAGGAATTCAGTGCTGTTGTGGGATTTTGTCTTTGAGTCTGACGGCTAACAACACTAGCAGGAAACTTGTAGGAAGCCAAGTGCATGTCTCATAACATTAAACACGTTTAGTGGGCTATTCAGATAATGAATGCACAACTGAAGAGTGAACAAAATTCCCCTGTCACTGCTGAAGCCTTGTTGCTTCCAGTTTTCACTCTGGGCTAAAGTGCAGTTGAAAGGAGAATTTTTGGACAAATGTATGAAAACAGTGTTACAAAAATAGAAGCATATTTGTAATGATACTTTGCTTTTGCAGCCAAAACCCTACTGCGGATGAAATTTTGTCTTGGGCTCAGAATTTTGACAAGATGATGAAAACACCAGCTGGGAGAAACCTTTTCAGAGAGTTTCTTCGAACAGAGTATAGTGAGGAGAACCTGCTTTTCTGGCTTGCATGTGAAGATCTAAAGAAGGAACAGAATAAGAAAGTTATTGAAGAAAAAGCAAGACTTATATATGAAGATTACATTTCTATACTATCACCAAAAGAGGTAAAGCTGTAAATGTTACATTTGCATCTTCTGTTATTCCAGAGCAGAAATGTTATACCCTGAATTGCCAGACGGGGGTCTGAAAGTCTGTCTGATCTGTCAGATGAAAATCTTAGATTGGACATTCAATCAGGAAAGGAAGGGACATAAAAAGTAGAGACACAGGGCCATTTAGCATCACTGGCAACAACACCTCAAAGGTCATTATAAGAGTCAAGGAACTCCAGTAAGAGAAGTCTGAGAAATAGGTAATGCTACATGCCTGTCAGAGGGAGGAAGTAAGTAATGTAAATGCAAAAGTAGAGACACAGGGCCATTTAGCATCAATGGCCACAACACCTCAAAGCTCATTATAAGAGTCAAGAAACTCCAGTGAGAAGTCTGAGAAACAGGTAATGCTACATTCCTGCCAGAGAGAGGAAGTAAGTAATGTAATGGATTTCTGGAGAAAAGGCACCAAAATTAGGGAATTTAAATCAGAATCATTATAGATTTATCAGCTGCAACAGCTGTCTGGGAGAAAATCCAAATTTGCACCAGTTATTCCTATGTGAGAGTCCAGGAATGGAGACCACATATTTTCTCTAATGAAAGGTATGATGATATCTAGGAAATTATATAAGATTTTCTTCAACCCTTAAACTGAAATAGACAAATTATGAAATGTTCTTCACCTGGAATAAAGAAAAAGCATTCCCTAACAAACCATGCTTTGCAATAAAGATATATATCTATAAAAGCAGTATAGAAGAAGCTTTTTTAGGCCATGTCATGTACCTTTAGCTCCTTTGCCTTGTCTCTGTGCATTGAATTTGACTTTCTACTCAATAGTATTATGCTAATTTATGCTCACTGTGGACCTTGCTTCCTACATTTTACTTCTGCACCGCATTCAGTAATAATTTGCAACTTCATTCATATGAATGAAGCCAACAGCAATTTATAGCTCCATTATCTTCTCTTGTGCCATAGTGTATACTTCTGGTTTGGAGTGAGATAACCGCCAGAACCACAAGCTCATAATGAGTTTTCCTTATAATACAATAAAATATCTCTGGTATATATATATTTGCTGGATGCTCTTTTGTCTTCTTAAGCTAAGATCAACCAGCAGTTAAAATTAAAATACTAACTAAGCGCTCTTTTGTCTTCTTAAGCTAAGATCAACCAGCAGTTAAAATACTAACTAAGTGTTGTTTGACTTAGGGTTTAACAAACCTACTCAGAAACTTGATACATTGGACATGTGTGGAGGTCATCAATCCAGTGGCTCCTGTCCCTACTGGAAATCTTATGAGGCAAAAAAACCTGTCTGCAATGCTTTAGATCAGCATGGAAGCTGAAAAGTCCTTGTTCATCCAGGCATCCCATTCCAGATGTTATCTTTTGGCATAAGAGCCGAAATATTTAGCACTACTTGTTCAGCGATAAAGTTATTGAGGCAGAAGGTCTTAGTGTTTTGAAAAGATACCTTATATTCATCTGTTCAGCAAGGAAATACCTTCAGCATATTCCAACTAGTTTTGCCATCTGGCTTCAGTGAGTCACTGAAAAACTACAATGTAAATGAATAGTTCCGTATTTTTTTCATTCTATAAGTGCAATTAACTTTTGCTATTTTCAATGGCACAAAACCCCACCATCCTGCCAAATTTGTGCTTTTTATCCCAGCTATTATAATTTGATAATGAAGAACCAATTAGCTAGCTGCACAAACTGTTCTTCCTAACATACGTGCATGTGTGTCAGGGGGAGAATTGCTTAAACCTTAGTGTGCCATTTCTCTGCTACAGAAGTGCAATCGCTCAGGATTGAAATCTATTCAAATAAATTCCAAAGATGCAGGGCTGCAACACTGCTTCTCAAAATTACCATAACACACCCCCCTGCACGTTGTTGTGTCTAAAAGCAGGTAGTCACTGGTCGAGCAGCCCCACCAGTCTGTTCACTCCTGCTCTGCAGTCTGGTCTGCTTGCACAGATACATTAATTAGACAATGAATTCAATCAGAAAAATGCCTGGGTTGAAAAACAGCCGCTTTCAGATGGATTGATTCCTTAACTCAGCTTGCTGTGGGGCTGCCCAGACAGCCTGGCCAAGGCGAAGGAGGGGAAGCACCAGGATGGGAAAGGGGGGAGGCTGCTCATGGCAGCTGATGCAGCACCCCTGCCCTTTCGTAAGGGATATTTACTCCTCACTATCACCCCATCTCACCCCATCCCATCATATCCCATCCCACCCCATCCCTTCCCAACCCACCCATCCCATCGTGTTTCAAAGACTTTGGTTTCACCACACACACAAATACCCAAGCCACAAGCTCACACACGTGCACACCTTCTGAGTTTTCATGTCTGTCAGCATCGTCCATGTACCAAGCTATCTCACTACGTGGAGCTTTCCAGGGTTGAACTCAATCCCTCAGACAGTACAAGTATCTATTTATATGGTTGCAGAGTTGTGGGCTCAGGCTGTAACCTGGTGTAAATCACAGCGGCTTAACTGATCTGTACTTGGTATTTCCCTATTCAGTGTTTTAGCTTTATTTTTCTTAGCTGACTAAACCCTTGCTGGCCCCAGTGGCTTTCCCTGCTTCTGCCATTTCATTTAATCCAGAAGGCATTAATTTTACTGTTTTTAGAGTATTTTATGGATAAGCTGTACATTCACTCAAACTTCTAAATAATATTCTAAAATCATTGGTGCTTTCACGCCAAGCATAACATGCCCTTTTCTGCCTAGGGACAGAAAGGAAAGGAGAAGCTAAAATTGAAACTTGCTAACAACTTCAATATGGACAATGTTATCCTGAAAGTCACCAGCTGTTACAGGGTCTTGAAAAAAAGAAGAACAAATCTGAAATAGTTAATATTAACAGGGAGATTAACACAATAAAAATGACAAAAAACTCTAGGTCATTTGTGAGTGACAAGTGGAGTGTCCGAAAAAAATTGGGAAAAAAACTTGTAGGGCAGCCAGATGAGAATGCAGAACAGAAAGCTTCTAAAGATTTAATCACAAATAGTCAGAAAACAACCATTTCAGCTCTCTGAATTGGAGTAATTCAACATTAATTTGAGATAAAATAATTTTAAATAAGCAAAAAAAAAACACCCTTAGGTAAAATAACACATTTTGGAAAACCCAGGTTACTGCAGAGTTTTTAGTTGCATTGTGTTTATTCTGTTATACAGTTGCACTTCATCTTACAGATCTTAGGATGGATGCAAAGACCACATGAAAACTGAAATAGAATCGATGCTCTCAGTCTGTAATTGTGCAGTAGCTCAGGAAGTAGCAGTGAGTCGTACTTGAATAAACTGAGAAACTCAGCGTGTTCTGTGGAGCCCTGTGAAATCGAGTTACACGTAACAGCCTTTCCAATGTCACTGTTTAATATTAGTCTGTTCTGATCTTCTTCAGGTTAGTCTTGATTCCCGGGTGAGAGAAGTGATCAACAGAAACTTGTTGGACCCCAGCCCTCACATGTATGAAGATGCCCAACTCCAGATATACACCCTAATGCACAGAGACTCTTTTCCAAGGTTTTTGAACTCTCAGATTTATAAGTCTCTCGTTGAAAGTATTACAGGCTCTACTTCTGAAACTTAGTTTTAACTTTCAAACAAAATAACTTGATTTTTTGGGGGTGGGTGGGCTGGAAGAAAAGTAGTTTAATAACATCTGGAGCTGGGTTCCTGGAGAACTACAGTTTAGCACTACTCAGGCTACTGTGAAGAAAACAAATACATACTATGGTCTCTGTCTACATTTTTACCAAGGTCCTCCTTGCTCGAGATGGCACGGGAGGGGAACAATGGATTTGCCAAAATACATTTGTTTCACACTCCTTTCACCCTCCTGCAGTCAAGATTGCAATGATGTATTTGTAGTTTTATGAACAGTCTCCTTGTGTATCCTCACACTGCATGTGCAAGGTAAAACTGCTTCACTTACCACTTAGTTGTTGCAATATTTAATCCAATAACATAAATTATATCTGTATTTAAGAACTTTTTTTGTGCAATACAGTCTTATGGTACATAGAAACAATTGCAGCAAACCAGAAAGAGGCTTGCATTTTTTAACATCACTAACTGAAAAAAGCCAATTTTTAAGGTGTAGCATTACTCAACATGCTCTACTGAGTACAATACACTGATTTTTTGAAGCCAATATTTCTGTACAGAAAAAAAAAAAAGAAAAAGAGCTATTTATCACTGTTTATTTAAAATAAACCAAGCGGAGGATTCCTCTGGTTGTTCACTGCCAAAACTGTGGCATTTTCATTACAGAGTTTGCAATGTCAAAAAAAAAAAAAAAAAAAAAAAAAGAAGAAAAAAAAAAAAGCACAAACCACTTAAAGGGATCCGTATCTGGGTGACACAATCTATGCGCTGATATTGTTTAATTGTTAAAAGAACAAAGATTTTCAATGTACATTTCAGATGTCAGATACTGTAATTGATTTATTAAAGACTGGCTATCCAGTTCTAACACTGTTGTATAATGTTATGTACTTCAGCAAAAAAAAGAAAAACAAAAACAAAAAAACAAAAAGCTTGATAATTTAGTTTTTTTAATAAAGAAATTTAATAAAAGATTGCCTACATGTAGCATTTTAGAGCATTTTAGAACATTTTGATGAATTGCATCTGTCCTGTAAGATTTTTTTTTTTTTTTTGGAAAGCTAAATCCAGTAAAAAAAATGTTTTTAAACAAAGTAATGTTTTACGAGGTGGCAGGTTAAGGAAGTATTATCTTAGCTTCTAGCCTCATTGATTTCGAGTAACTCCTTGAAAACAAGGGGTTTGGAGAGTAATATTAAACCAAACTTCAAGGGCTCCTAAACCTACAGTCCTTACCCAAGCAAAATGCCTACGGAAACACAACGGGTGTCTTTCCTGGGTAAAGAATCCTGTACTGAGCCCTCAACCAGAGCTAAGGCAGCCTGGTACTCCCATCACTTGCCTGCCGTGGTGTTTTTAATAGGTGTTTGCTTGGCCTTTTGATCAAAAAATGTCCAATTTTAGGATGCATTTTGACGTTTAAAGAGACAGTGACTCGGAAGTTAAAAAAACCCCATCTTCATACCTACCATATACAAGCAAGACGAGCATTAGCATCCCTCACAAACCGCTAAAGATATACCAAGAAATGGCTTTGAATACTCGTTAAATATATATATATGTATGTGCGTATATATATATATTTAATACTGACAACTCTGGTCTTATACTAAGACTTAAGAGGCAAGGTCCTTCTCACCTCCACGGGACTAAACACGGGCACCAGCCTGTTGCTTTCGCTGGGACGGGAAGGTCTGGCAGTTGTGTCCTTGAGCAGAATCTTGCCCCGACACACGTGGCTCCAACCACCCAGTTACTCCGTGCTGTACAGTAACCGGGGGGATGCAGGTCTTAGTTTATTTTCTGGGGCTTATTATTTTCTGGGGCTTATTATTTTTATTTTTTTTTTTTCCTCCTTGGTTTTACTACCTCTCATTTTTTTTTAATTTATTGAACGTGCTTCAAATAGCAAGTCTTGGGGAATTTTTTTAATCATTCTTTTTACTTGAAACCTGTGTGCTTTTTTTGGATATATATATACAAACAACTTAACGAACTGTTTCTTAAACTCATTTGGTTTTGTAATTTATATAGAATTCAGGAGATGATTAAAAGGGCTATTCTCTATTCCCTATGCAAATATTTTAACTGTTGTAGTGTTTGACAAAATGGGATCTAAAAAAAAAATCTGCAAAGTGGGAAACAAATCTGTTTACAGTGGCGTTGCTGACTATCCTACCATATTCAGCACTTTTAAATATTGTTATTTATGAAAATGTAGTTTAAAATGCAAGACAAAATATTTATAAATGTTTCTTTTAATAAATACCTGTTTTGTCTGAAAGTGTTATCGTGTTATGACAACTTTATTCATGTTGGTTAGCTACTTACCATTATGAATAAAATATTCAATTATTATACCGATAGAATAATAGCTATGATGTTTACAAATCCTGAGGGGGGAAAATTCAGTGAAAAAGGACTGCCTCCTCCTACTGTGAAATGCTGTTAGAAAAAAATCAATTTTTCTGACTTTTTTTCTTAATTGGAATTAAACTATGGTCCTACATATGTCTAGTATCATTTGATTACAGTTATATTTACCGTGGTACTAAACATATACAGCATCATATATGTATATATTTACATAGTGTAATTTCAAGTTTGTTGGTGTTTGAGGCACAATACATTTAGTCCACACATCTAAACAATGTGTAAGAGACAAAACTGCATGCATAAGTCTTTACAAATGTAGACTTAAATATTCTTAATGTTACTATTTGATGGTGACCTGCTAGTCATAAGCTATCTTTATAAGATATTTCACACAGGTAAAAGTTCTTGTCAGCACAGACAAGTCATCCTTTCCAGGACAGTTTTAAAGTTCAATGTGCGGGCCCTAAAGTATTACCTTGATTTCTAGTGTAAGATTCCAAAATCTGTATTTGGAAACTGTTACATCATTTTGAAAAATATTACACCAATCTTCAGTGTAATACTGCAATGAAATCACGTTCAAAATTTCTTGTCTTACATCCTCTATTTGGAGGAATTTAAAAATTGAACATAATGTGAAGTTTCTTTCTTGGAGCAAATGCTCATATTAAAATGTTTAATATACATTTCATTTATCAGTTTGGGTTTCCAAAAATTTTTTATGAAAAAATGGATATGTTCCAGTTGTCAACATGTCATGCCATAACATGATCTCATTGCCTATCATACAGTTCTTTGAACTCAAATTGTAAACCAGTCAAGCTATTAAACTGATTTATTGTGCATGCAGTGTACAATACACTTTGAAAAACTGCCTAAATACACTTATTCTATAGCCTGGAATAAAATAAGTATGTATTTAACTTGTATTTCAGTTTTTCATGAGAATGTATATAGCAAGTGCACTACGAGAAGTGAGTTATGTTTTTGTCACTTCTGCCCAGTGTTTAATCTTTTATGTTATATAGAGCCTGATGCCAAATAGCCACAAATACGCAGAGCACTTGTGTACACTTCTGACCTTTAGGTTTCGAAGAAACTGAATATTTATTGTATTTTGCATGTGTTCAACTTAGCTGTTTACAGCCAACTTTCACGTAACTGAGATGAAAGTAGTTTGGGATCCTAGGATAAAACAAAACCTGCAGACAGTATCAAGAGTATTTAAATTAGACTGAAGGCACATATGGTATGAAGGAGACAAAAGGTATGATGGAGAAAAGGCAGGTTAATGACACAGGTGCCTGGGCTGCCTGTTAACCAGCTGAGGCCAGGTACCATGGAAATCTGGCCATAGCACTTCCAGGTCCACAGCTTGTCCACAACTTCCTTGAGCACCTGTGGAGTCCACATAATCCATTTGCAGAACAACAGACAGTGGACACAAAACAGACCTAAGGTAGTGATAGCTCGGGTCTAAACCAAGAAAATAGAGGAGACCTACATTCTACCTTAAACAGCCAGGTTTTAAACTGTCACCTGATGCCAGACTTGCTCCCTTGGGCAGCAAATTCCATCATAAGGAGCACCTGTGTGCCTGTGGAACCAGTATCCAAAAAAGGCGGGGGGCTGTTTCTGTGAAATGAGCTTGCTTGACTGACCAGGCCATCAGCCCGCTCAGGAGCCCGCAGCTTCTGAATGCAGTAGGTGCTTTTGAAAGCCATTTAGCATAAGTATTCCACACCGCCAGTTCAAAAGCAATCAAAGCTGCTATAAGAAAGCCTCTTTAGCTTCAGTGACTCTCTACACCAGGACAATAAAGCTCACACCTCTAGGATGTCTGTGAGCCTGCTCCGGACAGTGTTAACCCATCCACCCAACAACAGCCCGAGTCCTTATCAAATGCAATAAAATAAAAAATCAAAGTTGCACATAAACAGACAACTGCAATGTCTGCTCCAAGTTGATTTGAACCCTGTCTAACTACCAACTCCAAACAGTGTTTTTCACAGCCCATAATGCTGTTATTTTTGCAGAGACCCAAGAGTAGCACTGTAGCACATCCTGGGACGTGGTTGCAGTGACAAAGTCCAGTCCTGTTCACCCATAGCCCGAGTTATATTTGCAGTGACAAAACATCAGCCCAAGTCACATAGGTCCCGAATACTTCTGCCAGCAGTAGAAGTGACATTTGTAGGACGCACGAACAAAGCAATGGCGCCAAAATCAGCTGAAAAAAACCCTGACATAAACACAGTCTGCATATTACTTTAATGTTATACCAAAAAGCCAGATTTTGTCCCTTCCTTTATCCATAAACTCATCCTTCCAGTTTAAACAGGGATACAATTCAGGTGATTCAAAGGCTGACCAGCAGTCATTGACTCACACTATTTTTTTTTCTTCTCAAAAGCTTTACCTTACACATGTAATCACCCCTTACTCTAAATCTGCGGAGTTCTGCACGCTCCTTTTACAAGCAGGATTCACACAGGCGTTAACACTCTCATAATTTCTTTCATTGTTAGAAAACAGCAAAATGTTTGGTCTATTAAATGCATAAATGTGATCATTTTTCCTGCAGAGGGCTTCAGGGAGCTTCATGGGCAAGCAGCAAGGGAAGATTTTGGTGGGTGAGATTTCATAAGCAATGGCCTGGGCTGTTTATCAGTGTCAGACTAGCCACAAAGACTGTACATTCTCCACAAAGCTATTTGAGTGTGATTTGACTTATAAATTATTGCTACAGTGTATTTTGCCAATAAACCTTATTCAAAGCGGTGCATCTACAACCACAGGAAAATGTTTTCACCCAACCATTCATTTTAATGTTTAACATTCCAAATAACAAATCCTCATGTTGACCGTATTGCCTTTGGATTTCCACAATGGAACAAAACTTTCAAGTTTTCATTGCTGACTACCAAAACTACTTAGGTGTTCAAGCCTTACTCTTGCTTTTGATATTACATTCATGAAAATAAAAATTTACTAATGTATCATATGGAAGTTGCTGTTACTCCACTAGTGTAATTTAGTTGTAAAGTATGCTTTCCTAGTTCTGTTTAGACTTGAATGAGGACAGAAGAACAGCAAAGACCCGACTGTGACTCCTCCAATGATTGTAATATAAAATACTGCCTAATAAAGTTTTATGGATAGTTGCACATTTTTATAATAAAGGATATTCTTCAAACAGTTTGGAGTTTAGCCAAGAATCTCATTAATGATGTTACATAAAACAAGGTTACTATGCCACCCTGTCTGCATACCAGAGGGGATTTGCCAGGGTCATCCCGCAGCACCCATCGCAGAACGTTTACTTAATGACTGCATCTTCACTACGTTCCAGCTGAAAAATCTTTATTTGAGACACTGTACTCAGATTTGCACTTTGTAAAGGGGTACTCTTTCAGCCTCACCACTTATCCCTCACGTGAAGGCTCTTTCAATCGCTCTTTATTCTTTTTCTTTTCTCTAAAAGCTTAATTTTGCGCCTGCTTTCACTGTGGAGGTATCCTTCCACAGGTACTTGCACTTTCCTGCTCCTCAGGGTATCTTAATTCGGAAAATTTTTCTGGGGCGAGAGGAAAACAATACAAGGAGAGTAACCTGGATATCCAGCCCCCTGACTGAAACCCCCCCCGCCGCCCCATCCCCACCACTGGGCCCGGGTGGTTGGCTGCGGGGTAGGAGGACACAACACCGCGCCCGCGGGCCCTCACCCCGGGAGCTCTGCTTTAAACTTGTACCATGGAGGATTTGCCGAGGTTTGGGGGGGGTTTATTTTTTTTTATTTCCCGGTCAGAATGAATAAAAACACACCCAGCCTTCCACACCAGCTGCGGCCTGGAGGCCCCTGCGCGGGCCCGAGCCACGCCCCCATGTCCCGCCCTGACACCTCTGGCCAATCACCCCGCGCCCGCCTCAAGGCACCGCCCCACCAGCTGAAGGGAGCCGAACGCCTTCGTCTCTTTCCGCCGGCCGAGCCCCGAAAAATTTCCGGCCGCTCCCGAGTCTCTTCGGAAACCCGGAAGGGAGGCTGCCGAGGGCACTCGGGTGTTTCCGGCGCGGGCAGGGCCTGGCGGAGGACGGGCGCCCCAGCTGGGCATGCGGCTGCTTTCGCGAGCTCTTCGCGCGGCGCAAGGCTGCCGGGCGGCCGCGCTGCCCCCGCCGCGGAGCCCCCGCGCAGTGCTAAGCGGGGGCAGCGCGGCAGCGGCGGCGACGACGCAGCCGCGCCGCGAGTTGAGCTCCCGCCCGGGCTTCGACGAGCTGTTCACCGCCCCTTCCTTACGCCGCCTGCTGGAGGCGCGGGCGCGGGG